AAATATGTTTTGGAATGAATTGTTATAGAAAATAATACTACAGATGTATATAAGAAAGTCGTGTTAGTTACACTATATAGAAATCAAGAAGGACTGTAGGGATATGGATGAAAATTGGTGGAGAGATAGATTAGAACCAAAAGATAGTCATAGGATATTTTAATATGTTCGATTGAAACAGAAAAAATGTATATAAATACCAATATCTGGTTATTAACGGCCACTAGGTCGGAATAAAGTTCGCACAGTCAGCTATGCATATTACTTATTTCGAAATTAACGCAAACGAAGTCACAAACAAAAACTAGTTATATAAAAAGTAAATTTAAAATCAACTCAAGAATCAAATGATTCGTTATATTATGTAAAAGTACAAATTATTTTAGTTGTAGGAGACTTATTGATTGAAGACTCCCGGCTCGCGTGAGTTCAAACCAAACGTTCGTAAGGAATCAAATCGTATTTGTGTAATGCTTATAATATTAATTAGTCGTTACATTTTCGGAGGTTCTTGTTCAACAATTAATGTAACTACTGCACGTGACCTGTGACCCTTGACCTCAATAGATGCTCTGTTCTAATGAGTTTTCTATAAACAATACTTACTCGTCTTTAATATGTTATTCAACTGAGAGAATATATGACGACTTTTTAACTTTGATATTAAACATATTGTTAAATGATAAATAATTATTAAACTATCAACCCTCAAGCCACCTATATAAAGAGCGCCATTACTGACAATCGGACACTTTTTGTTCTCAACTATTGTCAAGAGAAGAAACTCTGCTCTAATTAGTCTCGAATATTAATAAATTGTCCACTGACCAACGAACGTTTGTTTGTTTGTTTTATATATATAAATATAATATCATTTATTCATTATACTCTATATGTTTCTCACATCCATATCAAGCGAGACTCATAGCGCGGGATTTGAACAGTTTTTCTCAAACTGTTTCCTTCAAGTTATAATGTATGTGTCTTCATGTTGAGAGTATTCTCTAACTAATACTTCACATTCACCTACCATTAGGTAGAATGACAGATTGTATGAGAGAAAAATATTCTGGATATACCTACTGTGTTGTTCTTTAAAATTATTATAAAAAAAGTAGTTGTGTTAGTAATTATTTCTTTCAATATCTTTAGCCTTCATATAACAGTATTAGAAGTTAGTTTAAATATTACAAACACAATATAACTATTGTCAAGACTAACTTTAAAAAAACACTATTACACCAACATCGCTTAATTTTATCATAATATTGAAATTGTCTCTAATAATATGTATTTAAAATCAGTAAACGCATTCATTTAAACAAACCAACATATATATATGTTTGTCAGTGTGTACATGACCATTGAGCGTCCATTATATGTCTAGTGGTCTCTCGATAATCGAATATCGATGTAATATTCGCGCGAATCGATTCTCGACCGCAAATCGACTTCTCATAAAGCTATCGATTAACACACAAAATGGCGGCCGGCTGGGAATATTGTTTATAATGATGAATTGATTGGCTGACCCGATACATATATACGATTATATATAACGGTCACTACTCTGTATATAAGAAGGAACGTTTATATAATATTATAATTTATTTATTTATCTAGTTTATTTCGCTTGCTGTGCTCACCAATTGTTTTATTTGGACAATGCTTAACTATTTATCATAAGATTACTCCGAACATTAGTTAGTATCAGAAACAATATGCAAAGAATTATAAGGCAAAGTTCACACAGGACCTCCAGTAATTTTCTATTAAACTAATTTTCTTCCTGCCTCTAAAAACAAACCCATAAGGAACCTTACGATACATGAACACTCCTAAATGAATAGTTTCTTTTATAATAATGTTTTTCTCTCACTGTCGTTTATTTGTGTACAGCGAACTCCAACTTTACAAATAGGTACTTTCAAGCTGTAACTTTGAATGAAGTTGAACACAGAAACTACTTACACATAAACAGATCTCACGACTTGTTCAACATATTATATCAATTCTAAATAATTAATATATATTTTATAATTAACTAGATTTTGCTACGACTTTGTCCGATTTTGTTTAATAATTAGAAATGCATAGCTGAACAGGTGAACTGTTTTAATTTAGAGGTAGTAATTGAGTAGATTTTGGATTTTATTAGCAATATCTTTTTGGTCGAACGAATTCAAAAGTATTCTATGTCCGTCTTCTTATTCTAATCTAACTCTCTACCAATGAATGTCCAACCATATCCGTACAGCCGTTCTTGAGTTATAAATAGTAGGTACCTTTAACTAGTACGACTTTCTTATATGTAGAAAAATAATATATCACAAAAAAAGTCTGTTTATAATACATATGTAAGTTAAGTTATAACTCCTTTATTCTATGTAACATATTGCCAATCCATAGAAACTTTTACTCCATTATAGACATCGTCAATATAAATCTAAAAGACACGAGATAAGTATCACGTCTATACTGGTACATTAAGAGGCCGCGATAAGTGAATTGAACAAATTGATCGAATTATATAAAAACAAGATTAAATAAACATTTTAATTCAATAAAAACTATTTGACGTCCACCGTCACTTGTGACCCAGATTAAGTGGAACATAATCAATGACAAACTTGGCTCACAAACGAAATGTCAAAATATAAATGCGGCCCTCTCTGTCACACACCATACACCAGACAGAGACGGATATATACGAGAGCTGACACAAAACAAACAGAACTGGCAACGCATTAAGATGTTTTACACTTATCGCGATAGCATCAATATTATATGTATATTTTTTTTGTTATAATAATTATCGTTAATCTGGCAACACTCGCAGCATCATAATGGGCCGTTGTTTTTTACATGGCAACCCTAATCACGTGTCAGATTTACCGCTGGCGCTGGTACATATTAAAGGTCTTCGGCATTAATGATTTCACAAAGTGGATTCGTTACTTCATTTAGTTTTTATTGGCGTTTATTGTAGTCACCGGTGACGGTTCATTATTGGGGAATCTTTTATAATATATTTATTTAACTTTATGCATAGGTACGTAAACATGAAAACATTAATATTTTTTATTGTAATTATAATCCAATTAAAACTCAATCATCTTTCAACTATTCAATGTTTTCTGTCGTTTGAGTCGTTGTTTACTGAAACTTCTTACGTTTACATATTTAATGAACAGTGGTTTGCTTCTAAATAATCTCAATATTACTGTGCCAAGATACAACCAGTATTAATTTTAATCATCAGTATACTAGCTGTAGCTATAATAAATATAAGAGTGTTCTTATATGTCTTTAGTAATACTTTCAATATTTCTTATTACCGCAACATACATCACTGAAGAATCATTCTTCTTCTTCTTCCTGGCAATTTCCCAGCTTTAGCTAAAGTCTGCCTTATATGTTGTGAATAGTTTTGGCTATTTCTTTTTACGCCCGGCCGCCTGTCATCAACCCTCTTTGGGAATGAAGAATCATTATAAATTCTAAATATATTATCAAAGTTGATACAGTTCATCGTAGCATTAAACAAACTTCACAGTAATTGTTAAAACATATATTAAACGTATATGAACAATAATATACTAGTAATGTATCAGTTAACAGACAAACAGACAGAGTCAATAGTTGACTATTACATATAATATATATAGAAATTACCTTAGGACTATTATAATTTACCTATAACGAACTAATTACAAGTTACACGTTTTAACTACAATTGATACGTGACTCCTCATACATAATGACCTCACTGAGAAGTTTCTTAATTCATATGATGTTCGTTTATTTTTAAATAAAACTATTCCGTCTAATTAGTTCAGTTAATATCACCGCTGAACTTTTGACATAGAATTAGCATAAAAAAAGAATTTTAAAGGAAATTAATATATGACATACGAGGAATGATAACTTATGATGCTATTCGTAATTATGAAGTATGATTTAAATGTTAGTGCAGGAGGTAAGGTTGCCAACAGTTATACAAACAAGTGTTCCGTCTGTATATCCCTACTATCCCTACTATAATATTATAAATGCGAAAGTAACTCTGTCTGTCTGTCTGTCTGTCTGTCTGTCTGTCTGTCTGCTACGCTTTCACGCCTAAACCACTGAACTGATTTTAATGAAATTCGGTACAGAGATAGAGTTGACCTTGAGAAAGAACATAGGATAGTTTTTATCCCAGACTTTTGAAAGGTTCTCTTGGAAACGCGATATAACCGAACTCCACGCGGCGAAGCTGCGGGCGGAAAGCTAGTATATAATATGATGATCGTGTATAATTAACATGAACCAACAGTGGCGCTGTTTGATTTGTTGTTTGTACGTAATTGTAGACCCGCGCTAGTGTATCAAACAGAGTATTTATAATGTACTACAAACAGCAATAACAGGGATATTTATGAACGGTCATGAATACTGGAGGGAAATTTAGTTAGAGTTACAATAGATTATGATGTAAATAAAAGTAATATGTATTACTACGGGTTATTTTATTAGTACTACATACCCAAGACGTTTCGGTTACTTTGCAGCAACCGTGATCATTAAGACGAGATGAAAATTTTTAAAATACGCATAATTGTAAATCATAAAATATAAGTTTTATTTAAATGAATTATACATCATTATGTTAACTTGTTACTTTTTATACAATAACTTTATTTATTACCAGCTGAGTTCGACTGTGTTACCCGCGGATTTCCGGGATGTAAAGTAGCCTATGTGTTATTCCTGGACGTCAGCTTCCTGTATACAAAATTTTAACAAAATCGGTTCAGCTGTTTCAGCGTGAAGAAGTAACAAACATACACACACACTCACAAATTTTCGCAATTATAATGTTAGTAGGATAAGTAGAACCTCGGCAACTAAGTTCTATTTAAATATGTAAATAACGTTTGTAATTAAATTAACAAAAGAAAAATTTTATCATGATTTATAACAGAAAATCAATAAATGAATGTTTTATTAAAATCCAGGTGAGGGATCCTGTAACAGTAACGACGGCTTCCAACCGCCGGTCGAAGATAAATCAGCCAGTGATGATGAAGCGCCTCGCCCGGGGTCCGCTGACAAGAAGAAGCATCGGCGGAACAGAACCACCTTCACCACCTACCAGCTGCACGAACTGGAGCGAGCCTTCGAGAAGAGTCACTACCCTGACGTGTACTCCAGGGAAGAGTTGGCCATGAAAGTGAACCTGCCAGAAGTCAGGGTACAGGTCAGTACTTCATACATATTCATCATCTTTAGACTTCTTCGTGGCAATTTCCCAGCTTTAGCCAGGTTCTGCCAGGTTCTGCCAGCTTTAGCCAGGGTCTGCCTCACATGTTGTGAATAGTTTTGGCTAATTGTTTTTACGACCGGCCGCCTGTCTGACATCAACCCTCTTTGGGAAGTTCATGGTTTTTTGACTACATATAGGGGAGCGGGGGGCCAGTTGTTACAGGGGTAAGAAGTTACACGCATTTTTTACCGGGATTTTTAACTCTTTGGTAGACGTAAGTGGACTCATTTGTTTTCTTATAACATCGTGCGTTGCAAAAAAACAATCAGGGACCCGGCAAGCGGCAAACTGTTAGGTTGTGTGCACGTGTCTCGATTTCCATCAAGTTCGTAACAAAATCTTTTACCAAATTTTTGATTCCTGCTGTCTATATTTGTTATTCTCTAAATTCTTTTCGCCTCGAACGTTCATAATGTATCGAGTTTTAATTTGTAATAGCGTTTTATTCTGCTATTGATATCCATTAATGGCGGCTTTAATTTTAATTAAAAAACACACCATGGGGCAGGTTGTTACAGTTTTTCGGGGTAGGTTGTTACATGTAACAACTTGCCTCAGATCTTGTATTACCGTTCATCTCATTGACTATCATTTAGAAATTACTACGCTGTACTTAAAAATTAGAATAAATGGAAAGTGAAAAAATGAAATCATACAAATGACATCATACAGGAAACCGAAACAGCAACCAATCTATGACCTGACACTATTAACAATATTAATGTTTCACCTTCTCCAAATCCAGCTGGTTCGCAAGATATAGAATGTTTAACAACATAACCGAGTGCAGATTCGTCAAGTTTTAAAAATAAAATTGAATTAGCGATACCAGGTCCATCTGGTATACAAAGTACATTTGAAAATTTTTCGCCTTCAAAGATAAGGTCCTTTCCCAAGGCAGAGGCTCGAAAACAAACCATCCATAACCGTCGTAACCGTAAGTCCGCTGTATTAACCGATAAACCAAAATAACTAAAATAAACGATATATAAGATTTAAGAAAGTTCCTGCCAAAGTTATGTGATTATTACTGTTAAAAAGTTGGAAAATTACGATATAGATATTATAATTGCTCATAAATGTTATAAGACTGATCAAAATAGTTTTTTTTATTCATAACGTTTTGAAATAATAAAAAATAAATGATTTATTATTGTTCATTTTGTTTATTTACCTACTGTAACATCGTGCCCCGAAGCTGTAACAACTTGCCCCAAGTCAGGGGTAAGTTGTTGCAATCGACTTATTTCATTAATTCTCTATTTTGGGAAAAATTACGTAAATTTTAATATTTTTCCAATTGTATTCTACTAGCTGAATAGACACACAAATGGTAAAAGCAATCAAATGTATACATTTTTTGGTAGCTTTTGTGATATTAATAATTATCTAAAAATTGTAACAACGTGCCCCCCGCTCCCCTACTTATACCTATATCAGTGTGTATGTCTTAGAATAATGACGTTTATATGAATATACATTATGTTTCCACTAAACTTCAAACCGAGAGATGTGAGAGATGAATTTAATTGTACTTACTAGGAAACTAATATTTTCGGTTTACTACGCGGTATTTTATTTTTATCAAAAACTACATATTCCCGACGTTTCGGTTACTTTACAGCAACCGTGATCACGGACGGACGAGATATCTGTCAGTTGGTTTTGTTATTTATCATTTGTTAGGTATAACTTATAAAATAACGCATAGTAATCTGAAAATATTAATTTCATTTAAATCACAAAAATCCTAGATCTCATAAACTCTACTACAATGATCATCACGGATATTAGATAAATCAATCAAATCAAATACTATAAGATAAATCAATCTTGGATATAAACGATTTTTTTACTCTATTCGAGGCAAACATATAAAAAATTATCGTGAACACTACACCCACACGGGTAAATCATTTCTGAAAACTAGTAAAGTGTTAATAAAATTATAAAACGTATCAAAATATAATACAATTAAAAACCCCTAAGTTAATGAGCACAAGGACGCGACAATTAGTTCTCTGATCCTAGTTAATAAAACATATATTCACATCGCGTCGGTTCAAATGCAACGCTTTAATAAAAAGTTAAAAGCTCATAATTGAAGCCTTCGTGTTTGCACAAAAGCTAATGGTGCATTATACGAGTATATATATCATTCACTAAATAATTGAAGTTAAAAAACGGGCCCAGAGCCGAGAGCGTCTCCCTTTATTAAGTGAAATGTTAAGTTCGCAAACAGAATCGACTCGAGGGTTCGATCCATAATGAACCTAAGGGGCTTATGTCACTCAATTCCCCATACGCAAGACGAACATATGTCAAACCGGTGCCAACGATTCAAAAACTCTCAAAACCCCCCTCGCCGTACTGTCGAAAGGGAGCAGAAACGATCGCTGGGCTCTTTCTAAAGTGGACGCTCTCTAATTGCTTCCTTAGTGAACCAACAAAAACGACAAAAGTTCGAACCAATTTAGTTTTTATGTTGAGGGACTAAGGATCGGGCCGGAGGAAGTTAGCGGTTAGGTCGTTTCTATATAATACGTTTGTTGCTAATCTGAAGGTAATAAAGGGTTAGGAATGTTTTTGATGGGAAAACGCGTCATTTCGGGTCGAGCTAGTTGACGGACCCATTCACAGATCACACACAATGAAAGAGCTGTTAGAAAGTTTGGCGAAGAATTAGCTGACTCTGTATTATTATGTTATTTGAATAATAATAACTATACATTATAGATGACTCAGTCTGTAACTAAAACTCTAAGCCGTCAACATTACAAGCTCCTGGTCCATTTTCCGTAACGTCATTAACATTTATCTCAATTCGTTTGTCCGCTGACGGAGCGGACTACTAATGACGACATTTCAATTAACAACCCCTTCACCACGACGCGGACGAGTCCGAACAAACAGAAATATAAGGAAACTTACTTTAATATATATTATTGACTGGATGTATTGAAGAAATATAGAGGTTTGAGTGTATGTGTGTAACATTGATGACGGACACACACACACACACACACACGATCTAACGGGCTTGAAAGAACTTGTTGAATCTCCTCCGAATAGAAATGTTATATCAAATTTCTAGTATACACAATGATAGTTTTATTATATTATGGATTTCCTTCTAAAACATTTAAAATACAGATAAGAGATCTGAATTATCTTTCAAATATAAATCGTGATCGTTTGTACATCGTCATTGTGTAAAGTACCATCGGAGTGTAATGTACGGGGGAACAAACACAACAATAAATCCATTAAACTCAAAAACTAATTACAGGTCCTTTAAAAGTACTCACAGAATACAATAAGTTACAGTACGTGTGACTGACTTCACTAAATACATCGCGGATTGAGATTGTATTGAGATAACATCTACAGCGGGGCTCCGGGGCGGCTGGCTGATACAATAATAGGTCTAATAAAATGTTACACTTTATTTATATTAACTGAACCTATTTGTAACATACTAGGTTCTGTGACATTGATCGTCGAATATTATAAGTGTATTATAATATGAACTTGTTCTATTTCATATGTAGCACAAAAAACATCTCTTTTCGGTTAGCTAACAGTAAGTTACGGAAGTATTTGCATAGTATTGTTATGAAATAATTAAAAATATGCTTTCTCAATAAAGTAATTTAGTACACTATGATAATGTTTATAAAACGAATACACTCAAGAACAGTCTCACATACTGTACTAGTTTGAGAAGTTTAAACAATAAAGTATAAACAAAATGATATGAATATTGTAATCTATTAGTAGAAGACTTTGTGGTTATTATGGGAAATGTAATGATTGTATAATTTAATTAATAATTCTAATTAAATTTATATAACAATGTAACTTTCCGTACATCTATTGCATATGTCATTATAATCCGCCGCAGAATGCTAACTAATTATTCGTTTGTTTCACTGATATAATATAAATATCTGAATTATTATATTCCTTATATATCCCGTTTGAATGAATAATTCTAGTGGTACGGTTTTTTTTACACTACTGATATCTATAACACGGATTTAATATTCTAAATCAAATACTATACAAAATCCATCTCTGCCTTGATGTTTCACAAAACTAACGCTCAATATTTTTAATATTTTAATATTTTCTATGTTAATATTCAACGTTTAATCTAATATAAAGTCTCTAAGTAAATCAAGCCCCCCCCCCTCCCTCCAATATATCGGCCCGTCTCTCCGCAGTAGGTACCCTCAACCCTCTATCGCTTGTCACTTCATCGCCACGCTTGACTTGCGACCTAAACGCGCTAATAAACGTTTTTCTTCAACACCCTGTATAATACTCTACAATCCAATATAACATCTATCACATTAACACAAGGTTAGTTTTTCTATAAAGATACATTACAGCGGAAAACGTTAAAGTAATTTGAGCTCTGTGAGGAAGAGATAAGTCTGATATTAGAGTGGCGCGTTCATAATGTAATAGTTTGTAAAAACAGCTTTTAAAAATGTATTTGTTTAGTGAGAGAGTTGTAATTACAGGGCTGTTGTAACTGATAGCTTGTGAATGAGTTCCTTACGAGGGAATCATGACGACTGATAATTGATAAATACTTTATTAGTATAGAAAATAATTATAAATATACTTGTAATATTCTCTATTGAGCTTCGTATTTCTTTTGTTTTTGTCGTTTTTTCTGTATCCTCGTATATATAATTTGATTTGCTCGTAAGTACTCCACGTTAATTGTTCCGTGTCGGAGCTGTAATTGAGTTTCTGTTCAGCGATTTGTTGTTTCAATTTGTTTATTTACTTTACATTTAATTTGTTTTACATTTATATAACTTAGTCTGGTACTTATTGTTCTATCGTTGACCTTAATTAACACATGGTTTTTCCATATCAATAGTTTTTTTATATGTAATAATTGTAAAATTAATAATTGT